TTAGTACACATCACTATCATAAGGATTTAAATTTGTGAAGATATTGTCATTATGTGAAGTTAATGACTTGTTATATCATCCTTCAACTTTTTCTTGCCGTTTCCTGCTGTTTCTTTGTTGCTTGTATTGTTGTGATTGACACCTCCCAGAAAACATTTTGTAGACTGGTGAGACGTTTCTCATTGCTGCAGCCCGCACGAATAATGTGCATGCGGTCAAATGTCTTGCTGTCGATCAGGATGTTGTGGATGAAACAGACAATGTAAGTGATGGTTTATACATATTGTTATAACAAATAAACGGATTTCCTTCATACTCAGGAGGGATGGTCCGCCTTACTAAATGCCGCTCATAAAGGTCACCTTGATGTCGTTAAGACTCTTCTGGAAGCAGGAGCTTCAGTTGATCTACCGGATATGGTTTGTAATCCACTTACTCTCATTTGTAGAACATTCATTATTGCCCATGATCTTGAAGAACTTTAGATGGGATGGAGTCCATTAATGTGGGCAGTTTACAAGTGTCATCCCGAAGTCGTTGACCTCCTTCTGAACTATGGCGTGAGTACAGTGCTCATTTTCGCTATTTGCTTCATATAAACGATCTGTCGTTGGCCTGTGTTACAACATGTCCTGATTGAGGCTCACGTGAATCTAATTGATGAGGAGGACGGGTTGACCCCGCTTATAGTAGCTTCCGGCCGTGGTTTTACTCCCATTGTTGAAAAACTTCTAGCGGCAGATGCTCAGGTAAGCTCTCTTAGCCTAGTTTCCACTTTTTTTGCGGTATTCCACAATCATCTTGTAAAATCAAAATTGGAATTTCAGTCTTTGCCAAAAGTTTGCCCAGAGGAGTATTCTGATATTTTAAGACCAAAAAAAGTCCATATTGCACGTTTGGTTCTTGCTGGACTGATAGAAGGGTGATAGGTTTCAGATTGGCGTGTTTTAATTAGCGGGTATTTGACACGCGCTGCTGATCACAAGAGGGTGCAGCTTTGCAACATAATCTCTAATGCTGGAATTTGAGATTCGCCGCAACCTTACTATATCAAAACGTCATGACATTTGAAATTAGCACTTTGCATAATTCCCTCAAGAAGAAAACGCACAAGCAGTCGATCTCTTACCGTTCGCCAACCATAACTCCAAAGCAAGCCTTGCCATGCAAAATAGATATGATTTTCTCTCGGCCAATTTTGTCTGCCACCGCTTACTGGCATTTATATTCATATCGAGACTTGCAGTGTGGAACGTCACTGTGTTCGTGACCATTGTTGAGTTAGCTCATCTAAGCGAAATTTCACTATTTTTGGAATTTCGCGGACGATAATTTGGAATAAAAATTTTCCTTAACTGCTTCATAATTTGAAGGTCAACGCGTGTGATAAATTTGGCAGCACTGCTTTGATATGGGCTGCCAGAAAAGGCCATCTTCCTATTGTACAGATGCTTTTAAATGCGGGTGCTGAAGTCGATGCTGTTGGAATGGTAAGTTCTAGCTCTCCACATGATTTAAGAATTCTTTTATGTCTTGAATCTTTTCTCAGTGATCTTTTGAAGGGTTCTTCAACGGCCCTCATGTTGGCAACAAAGGGGAATTATCTCGCCGTTGTAGATCTGTTACTAACTCGAGAACCTAACGTAAATGTTGTGGATCAGGTACTTTCGGTAAAATGATTCAATGTTTGTTTGATTTTGTTCTCGTTCATTTAGAATGGTCTCTCAGCGCTAGGCATAGCTGCGCGGGAAGGATATGCAGATATTTGTGAATCTCTTATCAATTCGGGTGCATTCGTAAATCAGAGCGATAAGTTCGTGGATTTTGGTTTATACTAAATGCTGCTTGTGACATGCGTTTTGGTGCAGGTATGGAAACTGGATTTTACTCAGTGCTGTGCGTAGCGGAAACGCAAATATTGTTCGACTTCTCCTCGAAAAGTTTGCAGATGTGAACGCAAAAGATTCAGTGGGTTAAACGCTAATGCTTTTTTCTTAATCTTGAATATTCCTACCCTGCTTTTTGTTTAGGAAAATAGAACAGCTCTTCATCTAGCCATTGACAAGTCATTCATGGACATAGTATATATCATTCTGGAGAGAAAGCCCAATCTCGAGTTGAAGAACAGAGTGTGTGGTTTTTTTTTTCATAAGAGTATAAGCAGAAGAAATGGAACTGTATTTACCGCTCACCTACGAAATTTTGCCAGTGAAAGCATATTTAGGATGGCGAAACCCCTCTTCTTCGTGCTGTAAAAAGTCGTCATGTGGCGCTTTGCGATCTTCTAGTGAAATCGGGTGCTAAAATTTCTGCTGCAGATAATAACGGTGACAACGCTCTTCATCTAGCGTTAAGAGCTAGAAGCAGAAGACTTACGCAGACATTATTAGGTTAGTTTATCCTACACTCCAAGCAAGTAGGCAGCAGCGGTCGCTGCAACTTTCTTTGAAGGAACGCGAGAGGAATCGGCGAAAGGGACAGGGCCAAGGCACACTTTTTCTCGAAAATGTTTCAAATTTTGTCAATTTTTATAAGATTTGATCATATATAAGGCTTAGTGAAGTCAAGTCATTTTATTGTTTTAATTATCTTGTATTTCTTATTATTTTCCGCGACCTAGTTTTTGT